GTAGACCAATGCATATGCATCCGCACAACGGCGCAAAATGAAAGGTTTCGGCGACTTCAAACGCATTGCTGTTGTTTGCATACCAAATGAAGAAGAATTGAAACGGCGCAACACTGAGAAAACAGAAAAGGGCAATGCTAATACAATTAGAGAATCAACATTAAATAATTTACGAGGTAATTATCTAAAATGAAAAAATAAATAAATAAAGCAAACTAAGAACGTAAGCACGTATTGTAAATCCACAAAGAAAAAAAGAAAATAATAATCCTTCAATAATTTTTCAAATCATCTATCTGAAATTGCTAAAAGAATAGAAAATGCGAAAAGTGTTTGTCTCTTAAAATAATTAGGTTTTCAAATTACATTTTCTGCCTTTTTAAGTTTACATACATGTATATTATACTATTTTCTTAACAGTTATAAAGTATTTACGCGCTTTTTGTGCGTTCATACAATTATTTTAATTAGTCAGTGTATATGTAAGCCATTTTATATTTTTTGTATTTTAATTTTTTAATTTACAGGGGTTAACACAATATTATTATATATGTACTACATTACTATTTTATACGTATATGTACTTAGAAGTATGTATATATTTGTTTATACCATAATTTTCTGTATTTATTTATTTATTAAGTGCAGTTTTAGCTGCTACAATTTGCGTGTGGACATCGGAGCTTTGTTGGATTTCAAATATCCAAACACCATTTCAAAAGTGAATACACATTTGCCACAACATTGATTTCAATGAAATCCACGAAACACTCCTTCTGTTGTTATTTAATCTAAACATTTTGTCTGGCTATTTATATCCACTTTTTCACACTCTTTCCATATTATCTATATTCATTGAGATTTAACCAGTGCCAATCATTTAAAATGTATTTTTTTGTTTTGGTATTTTCATGAACCGAGTTCGCTTTTGAAAGGGTACTGAAAAAGTTTCTTTATCGCTGGGGTGGTTTTTATAACTGCAGGTGTAACCCATTTGGACTTTTATTTAAGTCTTGGTCAAGGAATATTCCGTAAAGCTTTCTTTTGCTTCCAGTCATCAATTCGTATAGGGACTCATTTTCTATACATATATAACGTTTTTTCTCTTTACCACTTAAATTGTTAAATTGTCAATTGACTAGTTTTCTGTGTGTCCACCTTTTACTTTACGGTGTATACCTGCCAGGAAGTGATTCACAAGACTATATTCGTCTCTTAATCCATTTTAATAAGTGATCCACGCACTGTATTTAAATTTTTTTGTTGTAGTAAAATAACTGAATTAAAAAAAAAATCGCTTGATTTGTCATTTATGTCAAACTCAAACAATTTTATTCTTTGGAAATTTGCTTACAGCCAACTTTACGCTGCCATCAATTGATCTGGATTGGTTCGACGAAGTAATCTACACTGACCTTAGTGGTGATGAGGCTAAGGCGGAGGTCAAACGTTACAACGAGAAAGGCAAGAAGGCTTTGGATGAAAGTCAACCGAATAAACGCAATCGGCGTGATCATCGTCAGCGCGGTGATGATCGACGACATCGCGATGGCGGTGGYGGCGGCGGAGGGCGACGCGATTTTCATCGTTGGAACGATCGTCGTGGTGGCGGCGGTGCCCACTCAGGTGGTGGTAATCGCTGGGGCGGTGGCGGTGGTGGGGGTGGTGCCGGCTACCGTGCTGGCTGGAGAGACGATCGCGGCTATGGCGGAGGCAGTGGTGGTGCGGGTGGTCGTGGCTATGACAATCGCAACAATCGATATAGCAATGGTCCACAGAACTGGTCGCAAAATAATCGTGGTTCTAATCGCTATGAAGATCGTTACAATCGCTCGGGCGGCGGTGGAGGGCGTTATGATTCTGGTGGCGGCGGAGGCCGTTATAGTTCTTATGGTGGTAACAGCGGTGGAGGCGGAGGTGGTGGCGGACGAGACTATCGTGATCGTGATCACAGAGAACGCAATGCAGGCGGTGGTGGTGGCGGCGGTCGACGCGACAACTATCGGTCCGGGGGTGATAGCCAGCGGGATTTTCGGCCTGGCCACCGCGACAATCGTACAGAAGATAGTCGCGGTGGCTATGAGCGTTCGGGTGCGACCGGCGGCGCGACCACAAAATACGGCAGTAATRCAAATAATGCTGTCAGCAGTGGAAGTGCCCATGGTCAAACTGGCTACCATGCGCAGGGGCATGCGCAACATAGTCAGTACAATAGCAACAAAACAGCGACTACAGGAATGGGAAGTGGCAAGGTGGGTTTAAGATTTCTATTGAATTTTCGATTATTTTTTATCAAATTGTTATTTACCTTGTTAGGGTTCATCGCAAAGTGGCGGAAAATGGAGCTCCTATGGCCAGCAGCAGTCACAACAACAACAACAACAACAACAGCATCAAATGTCCAGCGGCGGCAATTGGCAACAACAAACGCCGCATCATCAACAATATCAACAGCAACAACAGCAGCCTGCCGCACAGCAACAGTACTGGGGTTATGGTGACATGCAAGGTGAGTAGGAGAATTTGGTGTTTTTAATTTTCACTGACCATGCTCTCTTCCATAGGTTATGCCAATGCTCAACAAGCACAACCATGGGGAAACACCGATTCAAGTCAACAACAGGATTGGCTGGCATGGTGGCAGGTAATACCAAACATTATAGCATTCCAAAAAATATGTATGTATATTCACCAATAATTATGGTATTTTTTTAGCAAAATCAGCAGCAACCCCAAGCGACTGCTGGTATGGGCAATGCCAATGATGCGAACCAATATTGGTCACAATACTCCTACCAATCGACAATGACGGGCAATGGTAGTACTGGAGTTGACGCTGCTGGGAAAAAGTGAATATCCTTGTAGTAGCATGCGCAGTGACATAGTACAATTTCAATATATAGAAGGGGGGAAATAAAAGGGAAAAGTAAATTACAAATTTTATTGTCGTACACATGCATACAACGCGTTGAAATACACTTACAATAAAACACCTTATTCATAAACCCATGGAACATACATACACACACAAAGAGCGGTGCAGAGAACGTAGGAATGCTTGAAAGCATGTGTAAAGTAAATATAGTTTTGAATTAAACATCGATTACATACCTAAATACACCAGCTCATGACATGAAAAGACACAAATCAACGCAATTAAAAAGAAAAAAAAACAGTTAAAAATACTAAGTTACTTGCTGCATTATGCCGCGAGACACATCTTTATTCAACATCAGCCATGGACAACTTACATTCTAAACATGGAAAAAACATTCAATGAAAATAATCTATGTATATGTCCCTCCGCATAACTACTTATCAATAATTCAATACACCAACAACTCCCGTCATTTTTGTATAATTAAAGTTAAGCAAATTAGCGTATAAAAAGTATGAATAACTTTCAGTTTTAATTGCTTTCTTACATTATTACTGCTGCTACAAGTTTTTATCATTTTACTTATTCTATGTTCTTGTTCATTTTCGTGGTTATTTGCAAACAAACTAAATAACGTATCCCGTTTTAGTTGTTCAACTTTTATTTTTAAACTYTAAAATGTTAAACCATGAAGTTCATTAGGATCGTTGAAATATCAAAATCGGAAACAAATGTTCTTCAACTTAGCCWTTAAATTATTCTTGTTACACAGAAATATTGTCTATTTTCAAAAAAAAAACTAATTTTTATTAAAATTATCTCTTTCAGTTGAATATTCATATATTATTAAACAAATAGCTGAAGCAATAGTACACTGAAAATAAGTAAATATTGCAAAAATCAAAGAACAATTGAAAATTTAATAAATTTAAGAATTACTAAGTACATGCCGTAAGTGGTAAAAAAAACCATATGAGATTGGGTTTACTTTATTGTAAAGGAGGAAATTGTTGTCGCCTTGGAGGCATTGCACTCAATGTTCGCTAAAATGGTTGAAATGTACAAACAAATTCACAGTTGGAATTTACAAATAACCAATTCAATATTACTAGACTTGGTCATGGGCAAAATGTTTGCTAGTGTATTCAAAAAGAATGAAATAGTATATGTATATACAGCTATGGACAGAGACTTAGCGCACTTTCTTGTTGTGAAATACAGTACTTAATAGCTTTATAGTTAAAGAAGATAAAACCGTTATATTGCAGAAAAGCTATGCAATGTTGGGTTCAATTTGCATTCTTAAGTCAAAATTACCTTGAACAAGTATTTAGCACACTTTAAAAGATCTATAAGGCAAAATAAATATAATTGATATAATCACCATGGTTAATACTTTGTTAATCACCGATTCACAGCTACGTGACAAGCTCTCTATTGGCCTTTGGCATTTGTCCAAAAGAATGAGTTTCATGCTTCCTCTACTCCTGCTCAAAGCTCGTTACAATTTCTACATTTTCTTTGTCCAATATTTCTTTGGGGTGTATAACATAAGGCCGACAGTCAAGATCTCGAAAGTTAAGATCCGGACAATCAAAATTCCGACAAAGCAAGAAAAGGCGTTGTTCGTTCGGGACTCTGTGGCCTCCGGGTTAGCGTGCATAAAAATCCATTTTGCAGACACAGCATGTATATTATTCCTTAGTATATTACGATATGCAAATTTATCCGTATTCTCTTCTATCTTCTATCTAGCCCAAACAAATTATTTTCACTTAAACGACATTTATTTTCACTTAATAGTCTACTTGACACGTTTAAACTAAATTCTGCAATGACTGCGGCCATTATTGTGCCTGAGGGTTGGAAAGGATCTACTTTACATTTGCCAACAAACCAACTGTTTTCACGGTGGTTGGTTTCCGAGGGGGCGCCTTATKAATTATGTATTAAGATAACAGATTGAGATCACTCTTAACAGTTTTGATGGTACTGTACATAATTTTTCTAGAACATTTTACTAGATTAGCAATTTTTACTTGGTACTGACCAAGTACTAAGTACCAAACTTTACCGTTTTTGTAAAGGTGCAAAATAATMCTTTTTTTTCAAATTCGCAGTATTTTCCTTTTGTCATTTAAATAAAATGTTTAATAAAATTAAGTGTTAATTACAACTAAACAACTGAGAGCGGTTATTTTATATGAATTCAAATGATATCCGGTTATTTTCCTTCGTATTTAAAGAGGCGTGAGAAGCAGTATTGATCTCCTAATAACAAATTTTGTTCTGGTAAATTTTATTAAACTTCCAAAGGCAAATCGGTAGCAAATACTTATTTATTGCACAGCAGCAATATATGTATATGTATGTACATTTATGGCATCGTCACATGTTCTAACTTTGTTGTAATCCCCGTTTGGTTGGTAATGTTCAAATGGATTGTCATTTAACATTGTTGCAATTCATCGGCAGTATAAGTCAAATGCAATGTAGAGTATGTACGTATCAACTTAATGATGATAAGTATATGCCTTTGCTCATTCTTGAAAATGCAAAGCGCATGATAACAATTGGCAATGTCAAGTGCTTTTGTCACCAATTCCTGTGTGAACATACATACATATTAGTATTATAGAGGGTACAACAAAAGGTTATCAGATTTTTTGTCTATCGAAATCCAGGTTCTTGAACTTTATTATAATGATGTTTTAAATATACCTATGCATGTTTAAATATACATATATTTTATTTTATAAGGACTATTTGCGATATATAACATTTAAGTTTAAATCACTTCACTCACAATTATTTGTAAGAGAACATTTTCAAAGTACAAAATATTTTTATTTAATAACGGGAAAGCAAAATAGAAAAAGGTACACACTTTCATTTTAAAATATTTATGTATTATAATGAAATTTGAATACTTTACATGAATGTATCCCTACCAGACTACTATTTATGCGCGAGTTTTAAGGTCTACCCAAATACATGAATTTATTAATTGTTAAACATAAATGTACAAATATTCGCATAGGATGCTACAGCACTTTTCGTTTTGCGCCATTATCTCAATCTTTGCATTTTACAGAGTTATGTTCACTTTTTGCCCAACAACTTGTTAATTTCCTTATTTTGTTTATTCATCTTCAAGTCCACATCTTCGATTTTATAATTCATATTGTCCAATAATTCATTTTGCGATTCGATTTCACTTCCTAGATCGGTGGCAAGAAATTTTAAACGTGACAAATTATCACACATTTCGTCCAAATTCGATTCTAATTGTGTTTGGAATGGATTATTGCTTCGTTGGGCTTGTATTTGTTCACGTTGCTTAATTGCTGTCGAGTCATCCCTAATGCGACTTATGGGATGATCGTCATAACGTTCCGTTGGCGACATAGGTGGTGGTGATTTGCTAATATTAGCAGAAGTTTCTCTTGGTTCCTGGTTTTGCCCAAATTGATTGACACCACTTTGTGTACTCGGTGTACGGGTTAAAGGTACTTCGCGATTACCGGATAAATAATTTTTAAGWCCTCCAAATACGCTTTTCAAGCCGTTCAAGTGACGTTGGCTAAAGCGCAATGTTGAATTGATTTCGTCTAACTGTCGCGCGGTATTTTCCAATTGTTCTCGTTGTTTTGCCAATTCAGCTGCTGTAGCTTTGCCGACATCTTCCGTTTCATATAACAAACCTAAAAAAAATTTCTTTTATAAATTTCAGTTACATATTAGCATTCTTATCTACCTAAACTGCGCTGTGTAGACTCCAATGAACGAGACTCAATTTCTCTACGTCTTTCTGCATAAATTTGTTGAGGATCATCAAATGGATTGGTGCTACGACCACCAACAGCACCCTCCATTCCACTATCACGACCCGATATAGTGCTATTGGAGCGGGAGTTATTCAAAAAAATATCATCATCTACATCTTCTAGATCGCCTGTATTGAAGTCGAAGTGATTATTCACTGGCTGCAAGTAATTATTGGCCATGACTTTTTTGTTCGTGAGTATTTGTTATGCTGCTATTATTTGAACAGAAAATGCGCTTTACTTTGTAAAAAAGATACAATTTAAATTTGATGTTTTATATTAACTATTTTTAATGTGACCTCTTTAAAATTACAGAAATTTAAACCAGTGATTTTGTTATTCTTGCTGTTTCTTTCATATACRAAGAAAATTTCTTTCAAATACTCCCCTCTTTCGAGAAACGTCAATATGAAAGAAAGAAGAAATGTCCAGCTGATATGACATGGGCTTACCACACTTATTTATTTTTATTTCTGAAATCCTGCAACAACAACCCTGTTTCTGATTTTCGTTGGTTGGTTATCATTGTATTTTGTTTCGCTGTTTGACCACTAATATTTTGGCGCCAACAAATCATTACACACAGTAGTAAATTTTTCATTAGCAGAAGTTTTGATTTATATTTTATTAAAGTAATGGCCTATGAACGCAGTTCTTTGCGCTATGCGCATACTAATGGATTCACAAGTCTTACATTTACCGAGAACGATGAATCCATAATTACGTGTGGCTCTGACGGCGATATACGCGTGTGGCGAGGCATTGACGACGATGATCCCAGCTCCACTTGCCTAGGTGAATTTGTTATATGTATTGCACACAGCGGCAAACGCCTACTGGCATCCACTGACCGAAATACTGTGCAAGCGTACACATATCCAGAGTTGGACAGTGATGGCACATTAATGCGTTTTACAGCGCCAGTCACTTGCCTTCGTGTGCACGAGAAATACGTTGCCGCTGGTTCAGATGACACAAATATAAAGGTGTTGAGAAGTGATGATTGCAAAAGCGAATTTCATTTACAAGGACATAGTGGACCTGTCCTAGGTATAGATATTTGCAATAAAGGCGAATTGCTAGCTTCCATATCGGGCGATGGTAACTTGAAAATCTGGAACCTGGCTGAGAGTGGCACAGAAGTAAAAAGTATTTCGGGGTTACCTAAAGCAAATAGTTTTGAGAACGCAGTACATTTTGGAACACCTTGTTTTGAGCCACAAAGTAGTAAGTCGTTGGCATATGTGCTTGGCAAAGAGATAATAGTGTTGAATACAGACACCTGGGAAGTGAAATTTACTCTTTCTGACGAACGAAACAAAGGAGAGTACACATGTTGCCGCTTCTCTAAAGATGGACAATTTCTCGCCGCAGGAACAACGAAAGGTGAAATAAGTGTATTTGATTTTTTACGAAAGCAGTCGTTGAAGTCCGAAGCACCATCAAGCGAATGTCAATCTATTACCTGTATAAGCTGGAATACTACAGGTACCGAATTAGCCTATTGTGATGTGACTGGTCAGTTAGGAACGCTATTTCGTTCAAAAGGGGGAAACGGTGTCTTATTCGMAGACGGCGAAGCGGAGGAAGTTGATTTCGGTGATATTGAGTTCAACAATGATGATAATGATGATTTGATGAGTGCCAATGGTCTGGATGTAAATGATGAAAATGGTGACGATGATGATGATGATGGTATCTCAATTGAACGTCTTAAGAATCAAGTCATGCGGAAGGCTGGTGGATTTATGGATGATCCGGATGAAAATACACACGATTCCTTGCTTAAATCARCACATAGCGATATTGAACCGCAACCGCTAGTGAAGTCCTTTAAACAACAGCCTGCATTTCAACCAGGCGCAACACCAAATCATCTCGAGCATCGTTATCTAGTTTGGAATGATGTTGGTATTGTAACAGCACATACAGAGGGCAATGACGGTTCACTTGATGTAGAATTTCACGATGCCAGTGTACATCATTCCTTGCACATCCCAAACTATAGCAACCACAACATGGCCAGTTTGAGCACGAGCGTTTTGGCATTATCTGCGGAAAATTCAACCAAATTAGTGTGTATTGCGCTGGCAGCTTCCGGCAATAAGGAATGGTCGGTAACATTTCCAGATTGTGAAAGTACCGAAGCTTTAGTAGCAACCAACAAATTGGTGGGCGTTGTCACTAGCATGCAATTTTTGCGTATGTTCACCGTAATGGGCACTCAACGTGAAATAATATCTATTCCAGGACCGGTATTAGCATTGGCTGGACATGAGGATCGTATAATGGTAGTTTACCACAGTGCTCCACCCGGTACACTTCAGCAGCATTTATCCGCAATGCTAATACAAACATCCGGCATGCAGCTCCGCACTCAACACCTCACAGTGCCCTTAACACCCGAACGTCGTCTAACATGGCTTGGTTTTTCAGATTGTGGTTCACCTGTATTTTCAGATTCCATGGGTTTATTGCAATTGTATAGCCTAAAGAGTCAATGTTGGTATCCAATCTGTGATACCTTAAAACAAAGTCAGAGCGTTTCAAACAATTACTTTATTATTGCTGTATCCGAACGTACTCAAATTATTCAAGCGGTATTATGTCGAGGCAGCTCATATCCGATGACTAATCCGCGACCAATGACACAGGAGTTGACTCTGCAGTTACCCATATGTGACATTGAAGTGGAAAAGTCTGAATTGGAGGATGCTTTAGTGCGTGCTTCAATTATGAATATGGATAATGCTGATAAGGTAATTAAGGAAACCGCAATCAAACTTTTCGCATTGGCCTGTCGCAGTGAAGTGGAAATGCGCGCCAAAGAACTCATTGAAACTATTGCTTGCCCCGAACTCTTGCTCTTAGCAGTGAAATATGCCACAAAGTTGGGACGTATACATCTCTCAGATCGTTTGTCGGACCTGATGCCCCAACTTGAAGAAGAAAATCAACGTGAACGTCAAGAGTTGCACGAATTTGTGCAATACAACAATGTGGCGCTATCACCAGTTATTCGTTCGCAAGGTCCCAGCTTTAACAACAGTGTTTCATTTGGTAACCGAATAGCACCAAAGGCAATGGGATTAACGCACGCGCGGCGTGCGTCACTTAAACGTTTTGCTATGTCCAATTCTCCAATTTCTTTCGGAAAAAAATCGGTAATTTTAAGTGCAACGGAACACAATTCGTCGCCAACATCTACCCCATCCAACATAGAAGCAATTGAATCACAAGAAAACATTCCTGATAAAAATGCTGAGCAGTTGGACACCGTCAATGATGACATAAAGGACGTTGCCCGYACACCGCTTAATGCGGTAAATCCGTTTGCGGCTAAACGCAAACATTCAGAAATTGATTCCTCCAATAAAGGTGGAGTCTTAATCAATGGTGGCAAGCTGAAGATAGTAAAAAAATAATAAACAATAAGTTTTTATGTAAGTGTAGTTCTATATTTTATGTGTTTAAATATATGTATTGACCCTGTATATATACCCAGCTTTTCTTATTTTATTTATATGGCTGTGAAAGAAAATTACGTTTTACTTAAGACGTAGGCTTTTCTATGGTTTTATATCCGTTGTGTTGTGGATGGTTTATTTCCCCTGAGCCTAGATGCGAATTAAATTCATCTGTGTATGTAGTGTTTATTGCAAAAAGACATGTTGATAATTTAAATAAGGATAAGTTTTCGCTTCAACTGATTTATTTAAGCTTAAAATTAATTTTAATTGATTAAGTTGCAAATCCGACATATTTTTATTTAGTTGGCAACGCCCCGCTCACAACAAAAAACAGCTGTTAGCGCTTCACAGCTGATCTATCCATAAAAGTTGCTTACCCGTACGCATAGTTTTTATTACATGAATTTCAATTGTGTCGTATTAAAAATATAAGTTAAAATGTTTAAAAGTATTCGGCAAATAAGTTCAAAACAATTGCTACACACATATAAAATATGTTTTTATGAAAAAAWTTGTCAAAGCGAAGCTGCGAATTATAGCACACAACCTGCACATCAAAATATATTTGATAGAAATGCAAAGCGTCTGCAAAAGGAGCGTGCTGCCCTAAAGTATGTAAAATATAATATATTAGAAATCTATTTTGTAAAAGTATAAATCAATTAATTAATATTTTAACCACATAGCCCGGATGTAGAACTCTATGACTACCTGAAAGAAGAGGTTGGTTTTCGCTTAGCGGATCGGATCATAGATATAAAACGTGAATTTACAAATGCCGCAGACATTGGTTGCAGTCGTGGCTTTCTTTCTAAACACATAATGGCGGAAAGCGTACGGCATTTAACTCTATGCGATACGAGCCCTACAATGCTGGCACAAGCGCAAGGCACACCTGGTCTGAAATTAACTAAATTAGAATTGGACGAGGAGAAATTGGATGTAATGTAACAGTTTAAATATTAAAATAATTAATTAGTTTGCTATTTATAGGAATATTCTTACAGTTTCCTGATAACTCATTAGATTTAGTTATATCTAGTTTGAGTTTGCATTGGGTTAATGATCTACCAGGTTGCTTTTCGAAAGTAGTACGTAGTTTAAAACCTGATGGTGTTTTTATAGCATCTTTGTTCGGTGGTGATACACTATATGAGCTACGTTCATCGCTACAATTGGCTGAAATGGAGCGCAAAGGCGGTCTTTCGCCGCATATTTCGCCTTTCACACAGGTTTAATTTTATTATAGCGATTTATAGTAAGGGTAAGAAATATAGTTTTTATTTTATATAGATTAGAGACGTAGGTGCTTTGCTGAATCGTGCTGGCTTCACCATGTTAACCATTGATACAGATGAAATTGTAGTGGGTTACCCCAGCATGTTTGAACTTATGTGGGATCTAAAAGGTATGGCAGAGAATAATGCAGCTTTCAATAGACCTGCGCATATAAGTCGAGAAACAATGTTTGCGGCAAGTGCTATTTATAAGGAGTTGTACGCTAAGGTATGTACATACTTCGTATATAGGAAAAATTGTAGAGAATAAAACTGAAATTATCACTTAAGGACGAAGGCGTGACGGCGACATTTCAAATAATATACTTTGTCGGCTGGAAACCSGGTCCGAATCAACCCAAACCTGTGGAACGTGGCAGTGGTGATGTTTCGCTAAAAGATTTAGGCAAGATTATCGAATCTGGCGAACCAAAATCATAAAAGATTTATGTTGCCAATTTAATAGAATTATGCATGAAATGGAGGCTAAGGCATGTGTAAAGTTTTGTGAAGAAAACTCACTTTTGTATTATAGCAAATGCTGTCTTTATTGACTTTAGAAATAATAGTCTTTAAATATTAACATAAATAAGCACTATAGTACGTATAGCAGTATACGTACATATGTATATAAAGTGT